GTGGGAAAATGAATTCCATATTGCTATTTTTTATTTTATTTTATTTTTTGCAATGAAAACAAATTTCATAATCAAGCGTAAAAAAAAATTTCATTTTAAGTGACAATTTTCACATGAAACAAAGCTAAATGAACACTAAACTTTGATTAAAAAAATATTTTTTTAGGAAATATATATATATATATTTTACTTTTGGTAATGGAAACAAATTTTATAACCAATTGTGGAAAAAATTATCACTTTAATGGACAATTTCCATGTAAAATAAAGACAAACGTGAACAAAAAGAACCAAAATGTTAAAAATTTTCCCGGTGGAAAATTATACCAATCAAACACACTTGAAATCATTTTCCCGACAAAATATTTTTTAGGCAAATCTTTTCCCTGCAAAACATTTTCTTTCCACCGATTTTCCACCGTTGCAATCAAACGCACCCGAATTGACTTTATCGGTATAAATCTTTTGCCACATAGAAAACTGATAATTACATTACCCAACCCTACTTGACTACATAATTCCTACAAAATGCTAAAAATATGCAGAAGATTATCTGGGGTAAAACATTTGTTAACTGCAATTTTTTTTTAGTGGTCAATGTCAACAATTTTACAATTGAACAGACGTATAAAACATTGAAGCACAAAAAGGTGTTGATAACAAATACACTAAGATAATACCCTTAGTTTTGATGAGAACTTCGTTGGCCTTAGGGCGGGGCATGTGGAAGTCTTCGAAAGTAAGAGGCTTATTTGGCTCCCAGAACACTGCACCCCGCATGTAAGATGGCCCGTTACTCAGATGGTATCCCGCCGCTGATATGGTTGTATCTTTACTGTCAGATTCTGAACTCGAATACGATCTCCTCCTCCAGTCATGATCGGAAGAATCGCAGTCGCAGGGAAGTGAACCGTAGGAGGGAAAAACAGCTGCTCTTCGGCTGCAATAGCTGCTAAGGGCCTTGCGGAGTAAAACGGAGCTTCGGTAGAATGCCATCAATTCGTGCAATTGCGATCTCCTTCGAAACTGCTATGATAATTGGTTACGAATACTAAAATATTGTGTCAATTGAAGACGACGAGCTGGCAATCAAATGCCATCCAGGTTGTCGATTTATTTATTAATTTCCGCCATGCCTGTTTGGCTAAGCTTAAAGCTAGTATTTTTTGTTTTAACATGCATTTTTTTCTCATTCTCTTTCTCATTTTTTCCCTCACATTCTATCAATAAAATAAGGGAAGAATTTTTTTTCCTCTCACATGCTATCAATAAAATAAGGGAAGAATTCATGGATCAAGTTTTAACTATTACCAAATCAATTTTCAGACATTGAGTTTAAAAATTGCAAAAATCAAGTATTTATTAATTAATTAAATATATTAAAATCACAGTTATACAATTCAATTGTAATATGATATAATTAACACCTCCCACCCCACCCCGCCTCCACCTCCACCTCCACCTCCACCTCCACCTCCAACGCCCTTACTGTTTCGGGAACTATTCTAGTGACTTTTCCGGTGGCCGCTATACTCCGGCGACTGTTTCGGAGACCATTTCGGCCGTCACTTAATTCCGATAACTATACCGGTGACTATTGTGGTGACCGTTCCGTCGTCGCATTATTTCGACAACTCCTGTGATTCCGACAATTGTTAAGGTCGCAATTATATGCAATTTGGTCACAATTATCTAATTAATTAGTTAAAAATTAATTTTCGGTCACAACTTATCAAATTATTGGTCACAAATTTTTTCTCGATCATGAATCAAAATTTTATCGATCACATATTATTCATCTGTCAAGAATCGAAAATTTTATTGGTCATAACTCATTTATTCATTACAAATTCTCGATCACAACTTATCAAATTATTGGTCACAATTTAATTTTTGGTCACAAATCAAGAATTTTATAGTCACTGATTTTTTTTTTGCCACGAATTAAATTTTTTTATAAGTCACAGATTGAAAAAATTAAAATTTTTATTGGTTACAACTCGATTACAACTTAATAAATTGTGAGTCATAATCACAATTTTTAGGTCACATATTATCTATTTATCAAAAATTAACCAATTATTGATCATAGCCAACCAAATAATTGGTCACAAACACCCACCCCATCTCATCCCACCCAAGACCACCACCACGACCATCCCCACTTTTACAACCAGGACATTGCACACAACAACCACCACAAAACCTCCACCACCATCGCCCTAGCACCGCATACGACCACCTCCAACGCACACATCACCACACGATTCAATCAACCATCGCACCTACAGCATCACAGAGCACATCATCGCCTCTCCCACCACCGCACCGCACACCTCCACCACCGAATCATCATCACCATACCACTCATAAAAAGGGGGGGGGGGGGGGG